ACAAATTATGACAATTATGACTGTTTAACCTTCTGATCCTGGTACAAATTGTGAAAGAATGTTTAACCTTCTGATGCTGGTACAAATTTTTAGGTGCTCAAAGGGGTGGGGCTGGGCTTGAAGACAGAAAAGGGTGGGAGCAATGGATTACATTGATTATAATATATATATTACCCTACTTTTCTTAGGATAAGTACCCAAAATCTTGGCTTTACGAAGATTTAATACCATTATTTCAAAATCAGATGTATTACTGTGAATCTTTTGCATTTAAAAACCACTAAACCTTATTGAAAAGATAAGGTGGACCCAAGAAAAATGCCAGGCAATATAATTTAAAACACTCTTACTTTCATTAGCTGTCTTCACTACTAATCTGAAGAGTGCAGCAATTTCCTTTTTCCTCTTATCTCTGCTGTTAATTGTTATAGCCGAGTTACTTTCTTTAGAAGATTGGAGAGTGGTAATTTCACAATCAACATATTTGATAACACCCTGATTAGAAGAACAACCATTCATAAATTATATTTGACGAGAAAGCTATAATGATAGAATTTGAACATTCTGGTATTATTAAAAGAAATGATTGATCACTATTGTTAACAGTAAGCTAGAAAATCCATTTCATATTATTAGGGCCCAATAATTCATGATTGTACCTTGAGCACAGCATTCCAAGTAATAAGTTTCTTGTCAGATCTGTCAGAATTTGCATCTAAGCTTGAAATCACTGAATCTGTGCCAAGGGCCTGCTCCAGAATAGTGGCACTTTTCTAAAAAAATTAACAATTAGGTTTTGGATAGAAAATTGCATTTATAGAATTGAAATTTAAAAATTAATTTCACTTGATACATTCTATGATATTAAGTGTAAACGAAGTAAACTAAAACTCAATATTTTATAATAGTTTTAAACAAAGCCACATGATTTCAGAAATACCGGTAGTTAAAAGCCAAAGGCAGAACATTGTATTGTTTTATGTCTTAACTAACCTTTCTTTCTGTTAATTTGGATGAATCAAGAGTCCTTAAGCAATTGTACACTTGAGTAAGATTATCATCCATCATAAATGTGCCCCACGGTGCCAAAACTTTCAAAGAAAGCTCTAAGGCTTAACCTAACAATGAAAGTTTAAAAAAAATAATAATATAAAAAAAAGATTATTTGCAACATACATTTATCCAAAAATAATTTGTTACGCAAATATATTTAGAATGGAACAGATTTTTATAAAATCTACATTGGCAAACATCTATAGAGTTAGCAATATATATTATTGGTAAATTCCATGTAAAAGTGGACACATCATCTAAAAATTAATATACATAAAATTTGGGACAAAATAAATTTATTTCATGCATCTTGGAGTAATTTTTAGTATCTTTATTTTGTGTGCCACTTGATGACCTGGTAGCCATTTTGACTTTAGAACAAGTCGGCACATTTTAATATAATTTTTTTGAATTTTATGTTTGTTTACGTCTAATAAATATAGACAGACACTTTACATTTGTACAGTCAATGTCACATGATGGACAAGCATTAAAACACTGTTATTACCTTTATTTAAGTACATTATAACTGCTTAAGTGAAGTTTTTTTAACTGTAAAAGAATTGACATTGTTGTTCTATTTTTTATTGCTTGCATTCAGACGCACTACTACAAAGTCATGTTATCTCAGTGACATTATTATGTTTTGATTTTTTTACAATGTCGAATTTGATTTCTAAGTAGTCCCTAGAAAAGTAAACACTGTGGATAATTAATTGGGAAAAAATGTTTTAATTAAAGAAGATTTCAAAGGAAATCAATGAAAAAGATGCTAACTCAAGTGTTATGTCTTTTTTATGTTACGTCAATTACAATGAAAAAATGTATTATTATTTTTTACTATTATGCTTAATGTATATTTATAAATACCTTTGTTTTACGGTCTACTAACTTAAGACCCAAAACCACTTATAGTTAAATTAAATTAAGCACACTTAATGGCATTTTTCATTTATACTGGATGCAGATTAAAATAATTTTTCAGAAAGATAATTCAGTTACTAATGAATTCACCTATTATCTAAATGCCAGAATGAATGACCTCAATATTTAAAATGGCAAATTTCATCTGTCGTACCTAATATTGCCTCACACAGATGTAAATCTATGTGGTATGTTTAGATGTTTTTAATGGGATTTTATCAAATTGTACCCCTAATGAGATACGAGCAATATTCTAAACATGCTATCAATGATATGATAGTATCATAAATTTATTTTACTTTTAGATTTTTTTATGCAATATCATCAGTGTTTCCACAATGACATGGTGAACATAAATTTACATTAAACTTTTCTCCTCAGCTATCAAGAAGTCAATTGATTGATACGATGCAACCAACTCTTTTGATATTTCTGTTTCATTGTGTCAAACTGCACTGGCTATAAATGTCTCATATTTTCTCCTTTTTACCATAGATTCAGATTGTCTACAATATTAATTTGATGCTATATTTTTGCTTACATTTATATTGCTTGTGCGTCATGCAATATATTAATATAGAGTAGATAATCAGCCCTTTATTAAAATTATCTTAATTCTCATGTCTATATTAACATATATATACTTTTTGTTTACATAAGACACATTTTTTTCAGATTCTCTTTTCCCCAGACATAACTATTTGCAAAAACATATAGACACATGTAAGAAGGTCAGTTTCCACATGTGCTATTTGGCCCATCATCAACTGATTTGACACTCAGATAATGTATATTTTTGATGTAACCTCATTAAAGTTAAAGAAACACTTCTACTTGTATGAGTTATTCTGGCCATAACACTAGACTTGCTGATAAGAATCTAACTGAACAATGCCGCTGTGGACTCGAAATCAATCGAGAGTCTTAAGGCTGCCCTGGCACCCGCTAGGAGCGGTTAGGATAGCCACCATCCCTCCCCAAACTGTTGCACATATGCCAGTACTTGGTTGCAGCAACGTAGTCTATCAGAATCAAGGTGTCCATCAAACAATTAGATTTAGTCTTGGAGGCTTAAAAAAATGGCTTAATTCCCTGGATAATTTTCAAATGTTTGAAATTTGTGACAAACTTTTCTAATTAAATAGGGCCTACATAGGTTATAAATGTATTAGACAAATATAATAATAAAGCAATAAAGTTTGGTGTTTATATTAGAGTTTAGACTTCACCTTTTTTAAAGAAATTTAACTTAGTAGATAAGATTCTTTATTGATACAAATAAATGGAAATGTTTTGTATTACAAAATAAATATTCATTTTTCAGATCGTCCATAAATACATATTTTAACCAATACATTTTGCAATTATAACAATTTAAACACAAGACATCAAAAGTATTTCTCTAACGTAGAAATCAGCCATCAATAAACTCTCTTAGTGACAATGACTTTATTAGTGACCATTTAGATTTGGTAACCACTGGGGGAGCATGCTGGTAAATTTGTACAGACTGGGCAACAAAAGAATTTTTATATCTTACGCTCCTAACTTTAAAACTTAAAATTTAACTTAATTTAAGAGAAAGCATTTGCCCTGATCGAGCTGATCTTATTAAGTATCTGAATCTGTGATAAAGAGGGTGGGATGTATCATCCTAATAATTTTTTTTTAAAACGGCATTAAATTTTTTTTTTTTTCATTAGTTCTTCAAGTGAAGGATGTTTACTGTGAAATTTGTGTAATAATTTATTACCGGAACTAGCTTTATTGATTTGACTATAGGACTATTTATCTGTTTGATGTTACTAACATCAAACAGATAAATAGATAGAAAAAAAAATTTAATGCCGTTTTAAAAAAAATTTATTAGGATGATACATCCCTCCCTCTTTATCACAGATTCAGATACTTCAATAAGATCAGCTCTATCAGGGCAAATGCTTTCTCTTAAATTAAGTTAAATTTTAAGTTTTAAAGTTAGGAGCGTAAGATATAAAAATTCTTTTGTTGCCCAGTCTGTACAAATTTACCAGCTTGCTCCCCCAGTGGTTACCAAATCTAAATGGTCACTAATAGTTAGCTCATGAATACTCTTACTCATAAAAAAAGGTAACCACGTAATGGCAAATAATACTGAAGTTCATTAGGCTTCCAACGCTAAGTGACTCAATTGTTGCACTGTATTGTAAAGGATTGTTTGTTTATACTGACATCGTTAATTGAATAATTGTGCCCATTTTTAAAGTGAAAGAGAGAAAAGAAACTTAGAAAGTCTTTGATTAACTTTTTTATACTGAATTTGGTCGTGAATAGCTGATGACGAAATGAATAATCAATTTAAATGACGATTCTGAAATTTGAGAAATCACAGAAATGCGACTCTTGCAGTAAAGTTGTCTAGTAGCAGTGGTAATAGTATTTAAAATAATAATAATAACATAATTAGTAGTATAGACTTAAACTAACTTAACTTATTAAGTCTAAGTAGACTTAGACCTTAGACGTTTTGTTGTTTGTCGTGTTCCGTTATCGTGATTGGCAAGTCGCATTAACTTTTATGATGATCAGTTAGTTCATTTTAAAAGTCTGGGCCACTGCTTAAATATAACGCTTTAATTCAGATTTATTGATGTAAAAGTATTAATTTAAATAATAGTGCGTGCCTTATACTTAGTAACTTAGATAGTCATAGTGTATCACTGCAGCTGGCCCAAGTCCCAAGTGTAACAACTTTATTAAAAAACTAATTGTGACGCTACTTAACTCCTAAATAAATCAAAGCATTTCGGAGTTAAGTACCTTCTTTAATTAATCTATCCTTTTAAAAAAGGGGGGGGGGCTTAATTGCTAATTCTTAACATAAGGTTTATATTAATAATTTTTCTCAATATGATGACCGACGTATCAATGTTTGAATTTGTTTAGTTTTGTTTTCCTGTTTTTTTCCTTGTCTTTTTAAAGATGGAAATGAAAGAAAATTTAGGAAAGGCAGTGATATCCCTTGATTAGAACTCTCGCGCGTAACCACAGAAACATCCAAGTAACAATATGGAGGGTTGTAAATGTCTAGGTTATGAGCCGGATATTTTAAAATAGTCAGCATATAGAAACCTAAAATGGATGTTACTAAAAACAAATATTGCAGCCTATTTTTTCACGCCATGCTGAACTATACCCTATAACCACTGGGACCTAACTAAGTAATTAAATATTACATAAGGTTGACATAAATAATTTAATTAAGACAAGGCTAAGCCATCAATGCCATCATAATGGCATTTAAATTCATACTTGGACATCACATAAAATCAATTCTCAATGATGTGGAAGAAAAGCAAAAAAAGGATATCAGTGATTATGCTAAAGGACATCTCAATGAATCTAGACTTTTAAATGCCCCGTTATCATTTAACCGAAAGTCATGGGCTTCAGCACGTGGAGAACAACAGCAAAATAAATGCAATAAATTGAATAAACCTTCCAACTTCGTACATAAAATAAATATCAAGGAAAGGATATCACCAAGAATAGATGCTCTCTTTGACTTTAGTCTTGGTACATCAGGAGTTATTCCTCCTTTAAGAAACAAAACAGTAAAAACTCCAGAAGTCCGTTATAGGTTTGTTTATTTTATTTTCTAACCAATACTTTACTTTAGATAATTCTGTACTGTGATATTTAATTATATACTTATATTTAGATATATATACTTATATATCATATCATATTTATTCTTTAAAAAAACTAGAAGAAAAAATTTCAGCAAAATAAAATTATGCAGGACTAATGGGAGCCATGTTTTGTTCATATACATACTGTGCATCCAAAAAGAAAAAAAAAAAAAAAAATCAAACTGATTTTTATAAAATAACTTGAAAAAAAAAAAAAGAAAAAATTTCAGCAAAAAAAAATTAAGCAGGACTAATGGGAGCCATTTTTTTTTTATATACATACTGTGCATCCAAAAAAAAAAAAAAAAAAAAAAATCAAACTGATTTTTATAAAATAACTTGCATTTAAATTCTGCAATCATATTACCTCCCTCTGTTTTCTTATAAAGAATATATTTTTATAAGAGATTCAGATTTTAAAGAAAGATGTACCTGAAACTAATAGACTAATTATTACAACTGTCTACATTATTAGTGGGTTCTTCTAAATATCACACCAATATATAATATTATCATATTTAATGTGAGATGACATAATGAAAATTTTTTTTGTTACAACACAGATTGTTTACCCATTTAGACCCTGAAAAAGTAAAGGAAAACGATATACATCCTGAGACTCCACTGTCATTATACTCCCAGTTGGATGATGGAGTTCTAATTGAAGAGCTTCCACTTCAGGAAGTCAGGATGCCTATACCAGATATTCCCAGGAAAGCTGTGGCAGATGATAAGGAATCTGATCTCCCCTCTATAAAAGGGGATAGCATGACTACATCAGATGCATCTTTTCATACTAAACCTTCAGTTTTAAACTCACAAGATCTATATCTTCAATCAACACTTGGGATGTTTAGTAAAGGTAATTTTTCTATGCCTATGTAAAGTGATTGTATGTTTGTGTATATATATTTTATCAAATTTTTAAACCTCCTTGATCCTTTTTTCATCATTACTGTCAAGTATTATATTTATTGATTTATTGAAATTATATAACATCTCATCATCTGATCGAGAAATGTTTAATTATTCAAGATGTAAAATCATTTATAAATAAAATTGCACCTCATGAAATAATTTTTTTGTTATGTATTTGCTATAAGGTTTAAAACCTTCATCATCATGTTTATTTTAAGGTAGAACTTGAAAAAAAAGGTTCGTTACTTTCAGGTATAACACGAAAAGACCAGTACAAAAAAATGATGGATTTTAATGCTGAAATTCTCCGTAAGAATGATATGTGTGAGCTGAACATTATGTCAGGTGAAAAAGTTGCTTTGCATCATGCAATTAAATTAGATAAGGTAAAGTGAATGTTAATTGTTAAGAAGTAAATTATTGTAACATTAAAAAAAAAACAATTTAGCATTAAGAGATAACATTGTTTAAGAGATTGCTGCATTTTTAAAAATACTTATCTGACCAATAAATGATGCTGGGTGCTGCTGTGTGCAGTTCATGGCTAGACATTTAAATTGTTCTGCAGTGGGCTAGGTGCAATATTTTTATAAAGCAGAACATTCATTTATTTTTAAATAAATAAATTTATGTAATTTTTTAATATCATGTTTGTTTTTGCAAATTTTTATGTGAAGCTCAGTGAACCCAGTCCTAAGCTGGGGTACCACGCTATATAAGACCACAGTATTATTATTATTATTAAAAAGCTTAATTTGTGTAAATTAATACAGTAAAAAAGCTCAGACTGATCAATATTGTTCCAAACAAAAAAAAACATATAGAGAAAGAAACACAAAATAAATAATAAAAAAAAATAGAAAGTAAACTGAATTTTTTCTATGCACACCTTATAAGTGGATGATTTGACTAACTAAAAATGTATGAATTTATACTTCAGGAACTTGAGGACTTGAATTTGAGTGGAATGGGTCCAAACTTTCACAGACTTTTTTAATAACAAACTTAGTGCAAACAAGGTTAGAATACATAAAAAAGAATTTTATAAAAAAAAAAAAAAAAAAGAAAAAATGAGCCCAAAAAGGTCTCTGCTAGAAAGATATATGATGTATAGGTTCTATGTGAATTGATGTATATAGGCCTAGCAACATTCTTCATAGTCCATTATGAAATATTAAGGGATTTAAAAATAATAATATCCAATCCATTCAAGGCTGGTCCAAAATTTTCTAGAAAGTTTGAGAATTTTAATGGGTAGATCTATTGCATTATTAAACCGATTTTAATGAAACAGCTTTTTAAGTTTTCAATCCATTATTTATCTGAATGATTGTTATAGGGCCCTCTATCTTGGGCATAAATAAAAACTATAACTTATGGAATGGGCTCCCGCTGGGGTCTATTTTTTTAAAACTTAAATAAAAATGGTTATTGTTATGGCAATTACTTGTAAGATGTTTTATATTCAAAAAATTATTGCTTAGAAAAGTAATTTTTTCACATATTTTGAGGAGGTTATCAAATTTAGTCTAGAATGTTCCAGAAAGTTTTATATTATTCCACAGGAATATTTAGTGGGATCTAAAAGCTTATTGAAATGTTAGTTTAGTTCTTTTCATGTCTACACTTTCCTTTAATTATTTTTTCATAACATCAAGGAAACTCCTTGAAAGTTAATGAAACATAATAAACACGATAAGAGCTTTTATATAATGGCCTAAGCTTTAAACAGAAATGAAGTTGAAGGCCTAGATTCAGTATACACTATTTGTGTATTGGTGGATCTTGGCCAAATTAGGTAAACATACTCTTCATAATCCCAGCGGGTGACAGGATCCCACTGGTAACTTGATCCCACCAAGGAGCAGGATCCTAACAGGGAAAGGGATCCAACTGAGAAAATGTGATCCCACCTGAAAACAGTATCGCAACAGAGAAATGAGATCCCATCCAGATTGGGATTCCAAGGGGGTCAGGATCCCATTTGGAAAGTGATCCCATTGTAAATGGGGTCCCAATGGGACCCTCAAATTGGGATCAGAAACCCATCAGGGTTGTAAACCATACTGGGTAATAGGATACCTATAGGGAAGGCATCCCACTTGGTAATGGGATCCCAATAAGGAAGGAATCTCACTGGGGCCCTGGATCCGAATGGGAAATGAGATCTGTTTGGAATCCTATTTTGAAAATATGTTGTTTAGAGGAAAAAATTATTTTTTTGTCATTGCAATGTGGTTATTTCCTGCCCATTAATTTTGATGCTAGCTAAAAGACTATAGAAACGTTTTTTTTCGTAATGCCATCCCGAGCGACACTTGGTATATTGTTTAGTATGTAAAGATATTTATTACAAATTTCAGACTTTAACAAAGAAAGGGAAAAAAAACTTTATTGAGTAAATTCTGTCCTTATACTCACATTGTTAATACAATAGAGAAAAAATGTGGATTAGCCTAATGCAGTGAATTAATTTGCCTTAAAACAGACAGAATACGACAATTACATCGCAAAACTTTTGGATGGCCAAACATCTCAGCAGCATTTGCTAAGGGATCAAGTCAATCAAATGGCATCAAGAGGAACATCACGGCCAGGTGAAATGTCTGCAGCAGCTCAGAGACTGAAGGTTTTGGAAGACAAGGCCAAATATTTGTTGGAAATGAATGAAAGGTTAGTTTTATAACTTTGGTACTAAGCCCATAGATATGACAAACTTAAAGAAATCATTGCAGTGCCATTGTTTGTTGTTTTATATTTTAAAAATTCCACTGATAAAAAATGAATTACTGTCTACTAATGGCTGATATTTCAATTCTTTATTTCAGATTAAAAGTAGATATGAGAACAGAACAGCACAATTTAAATAAAACTCCAGAAGTTCCAGGTAACTACGGAATAATTGTTTGTCAATCCTTAATTTAAAAGTCGTCACTGCAAATTAAACTAGATCAGACTGTGATAAAGAATTTAGAGAGAATATTTCACTTATTTTTTTTCTTTAAGAATAATACATTTCTTCCTCTAAATTTGGTTTTGTGTGGGTTATGAAAATTGTAAGATTCCATTATAAGATTCAATTTTTCAGAATATTTATAAGTGCTCCTGATAAATTTGATTATTTGAAATATTCAAAAGTGCTCCTTCCAATCATTTGGGGAATGTTGTATTCATTTTTAATATTTTAAGGAACCTTGGCATCTAAATTATTTTATAGACAGGTATTGAAATATTTTAATGCACTATTTAATGCTGAGTTATTTTAACCAAAATAGGTTGGGAATAAAGCAAATAAAAAATGTTATTTTCTTAAAGAAATCAACATGTATTCATCTTTATTTCCTTTTCTCCTTTGAGACCTTTAGGATCAAAAAGGCATTGTCGATTCTTCAGCAATACCTTAATTCATAATGTTAACAATATCAGCAAAAAGGTTCAAAATGTTTATGGGATGTACCTATCATTATATTAAAATAATTTTTCAGTGAGAAAAGTGCAGGAACTTCAAGGTTTGTCAGGAAAAACAAATTTAAAAAAAACAAAATTTCTTTTTAAATTCTCTTTTCTATTTATAAGGATGGCATTATTTAATTCAAGAAATCTTTAGAATTTTAACGTATCATTCTTGACATGAATACATTTTTTCATTGTAGTATCACTGTAAATATATTTAGTTGCAGGAAAGTTTACATACTATTACTGACAATATTCCTGGTAACATTCAACAAATGTTTTTTTAAGACAATGTGGAACTTTTTTTAGCATTCAAACTTAATGTGGAAAAGAATTATGTAACGAAATTTATTTAATTTTTTTTTACATTTCAAATTCACAAGACACAATGATAATTTTTGCCATGGCTTCCTCATTAGTTTATGAGTGAGATTGCATTTCACTCCTCATAAAATGAATTTATTTGGGCATCTGTAACAGTACTTTAGCGAGATATGCATTGATACCCAATTTTAAAATCATGTCAAGTTGGCTTCTGTCTCTGGTGGTTGATTTTTTAAAAACTCTTGAGTTACTGATCTAACTAAAAATAGCTGCACTTTTGGGCTGAGGAGTTATACCACCTTGGGGATTTCCTAGTGTGCAGAAAATTACTGAAGTTGTATATCTGGTTCTTGATAGCAATAAGGTTCATGGTCAAATGTTTACAGACTGCTGTGTAATGGGAGTATTTAAAACAAAAATTTAGCCTTAAGTTTCTGATCTTCTCAAAACAGACACACACAAAAAATGTCTACATTTTTAAGCTTATTTAAAGAGATAATAGGATAATTAAAAAAAACATTAACCTAAAATTTAAACAAATACTGAGTTGGCATTGAGATTTAGAATTAATTTGTTGCGGATTGATCTAAAATAATCTTTTTTAATTTTACCACACCAATTAATTTTTTAAAAGTTGAAACTCATATAAATGACCATTTTTTAATGATTGAAATAATTGATTAACAATACATTTTTCTTTTAAATTTTTAGCTATTTTAATTTTTCATTTGAATCAAACAACACCTGCCTCATCTTTATTTAATTAATTTATATTTTCTGATTATTTCCTACCTATTTTGAGGATATGGGGTATTTTTCATTACATAAAATTACCATAGTTTGCTTTTTAGTAAATATGTATAGGTAAATTGATAAAATCTTTGCCTTTAATTTTATTCAAGACTTCTATCTTTCCATTTAATGCTACTAGACTTAGACTTGACTTTACATCCATCTCATTTCATTATATTCTTTATCTCATTGAATAACTTTTAAATATCACTAATCATTATATTCTTTATTAGAAAATAATTAAGCCTATATTAATATTAATTATAGGCCTAAACGTGTCTCGTCATACATGATGTAGGTCCATGATGTGTTTTTTCTGTATAATTTATAAAACCTGTGGCATACTCTGGTACATTTTTTTATTGAACGGGTACAACAGTATAAATCCTTTAGACGAGCAATTATTGTCACTATTTTAATTATATCAGTTCATTTTGTCCTTATATTTTCCATTGCTTAAAATTCAATAATTTTTTTTTAGAGGTATATAATCAATTAATCAGTAAATTTATAGTTAATTTAAAAAAAGAATCAACAATATGATCTCAATAGAACATCTAATACATTTTAGTTTAAAATTTTGAGATTGTCAGGTCATGTTCACAACTAGTCATTTTAAATTTAAAATGTAAATCATTATTTGTCTAATGATTAAAATTTTAAAAGTTAAAACTACTCAGGATAAAAAGGATCTTAGAAAAAGATATTCATTAGAAAAAAAATTTTTATGACTAAATTTATGTCTTTGTTATTTCAGCTAAAAGAACTCCACCTGGTGGCTATTCTAAGAAAGAGCAGCCTGTTGAGCTATCACTGGAACTTGAAAACATGAAAGTGTGTTAGCAATTATTTATGAAAGTCCCTCAGAAGAAAAAAAAAGTTATTTTATATCTTTAAGAAGGCAATTTCACGGTTAAAGTTCATGAACTTTAAGCCAGGGTTTTCCAACCTTTTCTTTATTCTGCACCCCTAGGAATTGTTTGACTAATTCTCACATTTCTACAAAATGTTTGACTGAGTCTGCCACACCCTATAAAAAGATACAATGCATTTTAAACTAAAAAAAGGGACTTCTAATTTTTTTTTATTGAATAACAAAGAGAACTGTAGAGCTTATAAAATAAACTTTGAACTGATTACATAAAGTAAAAATTTAATGAATAAATTTAAAATTATAAAATATTTATATCCTAACTTAAAAGTCAATGGCTCCACTGTCATTATAAACACTTAATTAAACTCACAGCCCCTGAAATGCTGCCTCACATAGAATTAGGAAACCTTGCTTTAAGTTTAAGCAATAATAAAACAACTTCAATTAAGTTTTGTGACACTAAATTAAACAATTATAAATAAAACTTAAGCACATTTGAAATCATTTAAAGCAAGATATATAAAAATAATTAAATATTAAAATCCTTATCAGCAATCAACAATTCGTCATGCTTTTTGTATTAACGTAGAATCTTATTTTAGTTTTAAAAAGTTTTGAATTGTTCTGTTAAGTTTTAAACACCAATAACTGTTAGAAATTTCATGTATACATATTATAAATTTGATAGGCTTTAATCTTGGAAAAATTGGATGAGCTTAACACTCAACATGTTCAGCTGAGAGAGGATTATGTGCCCATTACAGTGTGCACCCATCTTGAACAGTGCATTAAGGAAACTGAGGTCAGAATCAAGACTTTTTGCCTTCATATTTTTAATTTGCTTATACAATTCTACCATGTTCATTTGTACTTAGATAGTATTTGTTTTTTTTTTTGTTCTTTTTTGTTTTTTTTTGTTCGGAAGACAATTTTTGTAAGAATCTTGTACCTTATCTTGCAACATAGATGTTTGATTGTATTTATTAGGTAGAAGTACAAAAGCTGTTAAAGCAGAATGAATATTTTGAAAGGAGCATTGCAGAAATGGAGGCAGATTTGAAAGAGGCCATCATTGAAGCCGACACCAGTGAAAAAGATGCCAGGTATTCTTTACTGCATGATATTTAAATACTTTAATTTCATTGATATAATTGGAATTGTCATCAAAGTGAAAAAAGGTTTAAAAAAATAAATATTTTTCAAAATTAAAAACTATCTTTCAAAATGAACAATTTAACAAAAAGTATAAAGCTCTATTTTGTTTAATTTAAATTTAATTAAAATGTTGTTTTCAGGAGGATCTGGCGCAAGGTGAACTCTAGACGTGGCATGCCAGGCTCCCAGCACAGCAAGGACAGTGATGATGACTGTGATGATGAGACCAAATGGAACTGGTACATCTCATAATATCTCAATGCCAATCTGGTTGCTGCATACAGTGGTTATCAACAGTTGTAAAATAGTTGAGCAGTGTCAGAGATTTTACATTAACACATTTTCTGAGTTTTGTTATACTGTCATCCAATCAAAATTGTCAACTGTTGAGCATCATTCAATCATATCTTTTGGATTACATTGTCCTCATGTAATGTAAAAACAATTTTAAAGTAATGAAAGTATTGTACGCAAGTAGTAAGAATTTATTATTTAACTAAAACTGAGAGATTCTTCGTTTTATTCAGATCTATACATTAACGACCTTGGCCCCCATTCTATATTTCTTGTAGTTATTGTAGCATGGTGATTAGCATAAGAAGTTTCTTTGTTTCTTTGGGCTATTCAATTCAACCATTGGATAGAATGTTGTATAGGCATTTTATTCATGCCAGTAACCACCATGGATAAGCTTACTTAGCTTATTAATGCCTGTGTCTAAAGCCAATTCAAGATTTGTTATTGTAAATAAGAATGCTATGTTTTTACATTACGTGTAAATATATTTTATATATTGTATTTTTAAATTAAGACATTAGTGAAATATTAATATTTATTTTCCTAATTTATAAAGTATTGTTTTTGATTTTGCCCAATCATTTAAAATGACTTGCAAAGAATTATTGTTTATATATTTCTTATTATTTATGACTTCAAAGGAAAGTATGGTTTGCAAAATATGCAAAATAACCATTTTGTATGAACTTGGATTCAGAACAACACATAAAACGTACATAAGTATTAAAAAGCATTGAGGGAAAAACAGAGTTTGATTCAATTACTTTTATGGGTTTTTGAAGTTTTTATTTAATTATAAATCTGTCATAAAATAGAGTCTAACATTTTCATACAAGACCAGGCTAAGTAAGAAAAAACCTCACCATTTCACAACACTGTCACCTGTGGAGACATCCAGCCTAAACTCTGGTATAATCTGTTTTCTTAGCCTTGATTTCATGGGTCGATTTTAACAACTAAAAATACTGTGTATATCACAAACATAACATCAGGTCAATTATTGACTTATTAGACATTCCTAGAGACAAGTTGAAGTTATCCTTGAAATCTTGTAAAAATTTCATTTGCTTTCAAAATAGAATAAAATACATTAGAATACAAACCATTCACCTGCAATAGATTAATACAAAATGTATAATTTAAACTTAGAAAATTCAAATAAAGAATCTAGCATTTTCTGTATAATTCACAGTATAGGATACATTTATTAAAATGAGGTACTGACAAAATATCCTAATATTCCTTGAAAATAAATAATGTAAAGTAAGTTGTGCATATTTATCCATAAAAATATGTAAGATACTTTCATAATTAACAGGGCTTATATTTTCAAATATTTATTTAAGATTTTATAAATAAGTGTGTTGTGTTAATTTGTTTTACTTAAACCACTTTAATGGTAAAAAATACTGCAAATAACTAATTTTGCACTAAATGATTTCATTTTCTCATAGAGGTGGATGGTCATAAAAGTATGATAAAAAAATTTCTACTTGAAAGAGAATTTTCTTATGTTATTGAAATGTTTAAAGCCATGCCCTTTTATTTGACAAAATGAGATCCAGTTTTGAAAAACAGACTGTTACAAAATGAGCCAGAATCTTTAAGAAAATACAGCTTCATTGACATTGCATGATAAGAGAGCATTGACACACACACATTTCAACTCCCCACTTTAAAAAATGTGTTAAAATGACAATGATGTGATTTTTTTAATTTCCCGGAAAATCACTATACCAAAAAACATGCAAGCCTCAAAAACATTATAAAACTAAGATTTTTTAAAAAAATATATAAGAACATGTAGTAAAAAATCATTTCATGACCAAGCATAAATAAAGCTAATTTTATCACAGTGAAAGTAAATAGAATTTTATATAAGTGGAAAAGATAAATAATAAAGCTAAAATTTAATATTAAATATAAAAATATTTATGGACATGAAAATTACAGTGAATAAATATACATCTTTCACAACAATGAAAAGACCATAATTTTACAGTAATCATTGGTTACTACAAATAGTGTAGTAAAGTTACTTTTTTTAAAAACTTTGCATACAAATTAATTATTTTTTTGTGTTTTGCTTGTTTTTCTTTTTAAAAAAACTAATCACATTTTACATAAATACGTAATTTGTTAAATAAACTAAAATTGTGAATTTAATAATGAGTATGTACAACTTATACTTTGATAGTTATATCTAAACATAAAATTGTCCAAAATATACTGAGTTAAATTATATAAATTTGTTTTAGTTCGCAGTGACACTAAGATACTTAGTTTAACTCTTCAGAGTTATTAGGTCATAAATTCTAATTCATAAAATTTATAAATTAAGAATGGCATTAAATGCTTTAAAAAAAAAGTTAAATGATTACCATTCCATCCAATCAAATACATCCTATGCATATTTAAGCATATTTATCACTATAAACAACAAAATTATTTTAAAAGCTTTTATTAGTCATACATTAAATTTTTATCTTTAAATAGATAACAACCACTCTGGGAGCTTGTGATTAATAATCACACATGTCCATGTGAGTTCAGATAAACTTCAAAGTAAAGGTCAATCTTAAGAAACAACTTCTCCCTATTAATATCATCCTGGCATTTGGACTTAATGAAATCTCCTTCTAAAATATTTATAAGAGTAAAATAAGTTAATCACTCTTTGGGACTACTACCACTTAAATATGTTAAGACGACATTGTCAGCTGTTCTGACATTTGAAGAAATCACTCGTATTTGTACAATTATTAATGCAAATTTAAATAATGTTATTTTGAGTTATAATTTAGCACTTAAACTGTTGACACACTGAAATTCATCACATTAAAATGACCATTGCACCTTTCCAAAAACTTATGGGACAGAAAGGCTTGATAGATTTATAAATTAAAGTTTCAAAATTATGTTTAGGGCATCAGATGAATTACAACTATATGTACAATTCTTGATCAATGCTGGATTGTATAATCACTTAAGGACAAAACTATAATCACAGGATTTGAGTTTAGACAGGGTTGGCCTTAGATTAACTGGGCCTAACTGGCCCTTGAGCTTCAGAGGGCTTTACCCAGAAATCAAATAAATACGTTTTTTTCTTTTTAAATCCTTAAAGGAATTAATATAGACTATTTTCACCCCTTGTCAAAGCATAAACACCTTACCATTATCAGATTGCAAACATAAAATAATAAAGAATCCTAAACATTTTTTGCAATAAAAATTTATAATAGGTCTACTATTGGTTTTCATTTTCTTTGTGATTAACAAAATCAAATTTTTAAATTGTTCCCTATAAATGTAGCCCTCATGATTTAGTCTGACTCTGTCCGCAATGCTTTTCATTTGCTTTAAAAAAATGCAATCCCTAAACACAGTGACACTGTGTTTCATGTATTGCTTGGTACCATGAAATAAATTAACACAGCAGGTATGATGACAGTTGTCATCAGTAGCCAAACCGAGATGAAGTTGTCGGCATCCACATGAAACTTTTTGTCTCCTGCAAGTATACATCAGGAATCCAGCCAATCGAAGACTCAACCATCTTCACAGTGTTGCGACCAAAAAGGCGACGCTCAAAGTCTATGAGCTGCCTCCAAAAGCCAACATTTGGGTGGATGACAGACCTGCGCCGCTTGACATGGCGATAAGCCTGCTCCAAGGTCATTCTCTGGTATTTCATTAAATAAGCAATGCATATAGATGCAGAACGACTGACTCCAGCAACACAGTGGACTAGAGTTTTACCACCTTTTCTATCAACCTGAAATACAACAAAATATCAGGATAGTAGTTGATTTTTTTAGAAAATTAAGTGCGATTTTCAGGTTCTTATGGCTCAAAATAACATTTTTAAAACAAGTTTTCTCTAGATTGGTGTATAAAAATTTTGGAGAAGTCACCTTGCAGCAATTTAGAATGTTAGAAGTCATTATTTCATAACAAATAAACCAATAGCTAAAAATACTGAAAAGGTGACTCAAAGACATGCAGTTTATAATGTAAAATTAACATAGAGATTTGTTAGGGACTGAAAAGTAATCCTGAGTTCATAAAAAATAAAAAATTTTCATAAGCACAACCCTTAGAACCCTCAAGGTGGGTACCATGCATGATCATCACACAGGCGCCAACAAAACCGCTGAATAACTTAAATACTGAAGAATTGCATTTAAAATTTGCAACATTAAAAGAAAGAAAAGTAACTTTTTCAAAATAGCAGATTATTTGCATTATTTCTGCCAATTTGATGCATTATTTCTGCCAATTTGTTGCATTATTTCTCCTATTTTGGCCTTTTTTGTATTGAATTCGAATAAAAATTTGTTAAAATCAAAAAAATGAATAAATTTTTCTGAACTCTTCCCATAATTTTTCAGAGGGCCACAATTGCCTATTTTCACCCAACCTAAAAATGTCTGGCGCTGGCACTGCTTAGAACTATCTCGTACTCATAAGCCATGGGCGCCCGCAGAAAACTTTCTAGGGGGGGCCAAAAAAAAATCGATTAACTTCCTAGGGGGGGGGGGCAACAATTTTTTAGTAATGTTTTAATGTAGTTTTAATTTACTGTAGTTTTTTTTCTTTTTTTTTCTCAAAAATTTTTTTCCCCCCCCCCCCCCCCCTGTGGGCGCCCATGTCATAAAAACAACCCTTAGAACCAACTCATACAAATGCAATATATTGCCCTCTCATTCTTGTTGAGTTGGAGAGGTTGGCAATGAAGTCCTAACTAGCATAATAATTGTCCTCAGCCAACTATGTAAACCACACCTCTCAAAAATTTTAGTTTTTCATGCTGCTATTTTATTTCTGATTAAAGGGTAAATGGATCAATTTAATCTATTATTTAATGAAACATGATATTTAAAATAAATTATAATTGTTTTTGGTTGTCATTGCCAATGTACCTAATTAGGAATTGAATACAAACATTAAATTAATAAATTTAAAAAATAAAATAAAATGTAAAGCTCATCTTCAAATTATTTGGTGATTTAACAATTGAAAAAAATTGTTTAATCTAATATGGCTGTATGAGTTTAAACGATCTGTCCCTTAACTTGTAGCCATCACAAAAAAACTATAGTCTTAATTAAATATATGACTAACAATATGTACACATTTAAAAATTGTGCCATCAACAGAGTTTCTCTCAAACAAATAACATTTTCCCACAGCTGATAGTGTTATAAAAATTAATCATATTTATACTATAAGATCTTTTTACAGTAAACAAATTTAATAGAAAATGGTGAAAGCAAGTGTAGTTTTAAAAATAAAATCAAAACTATTTGAAATTAGTTTTAGGTGCCAAACAGTGTCTAAAAGTTTAAATATGCTTAAGAATCTTACCATGTGGATTTTATCAGCACACCTGTCAAAATACAGACCCAGCCTAGCATTAGGGGCGTCGTCTATATGGATCTGCATGCATTCCAAGTTGGGCATCTGTAGATTAGGAATCTCCAGGGTGATATTGATGACATGGGTGATTCCGAGGCTTCGGATCTTCTCTCCCCGTACAGCAGCGGCACTGCTGAGGTACAAGGAGTTGGTGATCTCCGCCACCTGGGAAAACATGGCTAAGTCCATTTCACTGGTACACAAACCTGAAAGTGAAGAAGTTTAAAAATTTAACTCAGGGGACTTGTAAGGGGCTAAAATATTATTCACTAATGTAAGACCCAGAGGAAAACAACGTTTTTAATAGGTGGGGAAAGAGTG